TTTCTCAGGCGCACACCTTAGGAACTGAAGGCCATACTCTATATGTTGTGTTTTTGTAAAATTCAATTACTGTTGTGCAGAGCAGTGATGGCGAGGTTAGTTCTCTCTCTCTCTCTCTCTCTCTCTCTCTCTCTCTCTCTCTCTCTCTCTCCATCCCCCTTGCCATGGTGTGTGAGAAACAGAGCATCCCCATGGCAACAGCAGCAGCTGGTCCCTAGATAAGAGGAGCTGGAGCTGAGCTGGGCAGCAGCAGTCACAGCACAAGAAACAGCCCAGCCTCTCCAGGCCAGCGCTTCCTCCAGTCTCTTGCCTTCAGTGTCTGCACCAATTGGTAAGTGCTTTGGATTTTTTTTCTCCACAAACTTCTGTGAGGAGCAAAGCAAGTGTCTAATAATTTACAACTTTTCATGGTTGCTGGGACAAAGAAGGCTGCAGCTGATGGCACTAGGGTTAGGCTTTCTAGAGCTAGGTTGACCTGAAGCAAGGGAGGAAACAGAAAAAAGTCAGCATTTCCCCACCATTTTACGAAGGGAAGCGGGGATGGGGGGCTTGAGTTCTGCAGGAGCCTGTGTCCTCGCAAACTAAATTGCCAAGCTTCAGGGATCTGTGTGCTCCCACGGCATGAAGAGCCTCATTCTACATTGCTGGGGAAAGGAGTTTTTTCAAAATTCATCCCCACACCCTGCTTCAAGTTCAGCCAGTCTTTGAGGAATTTTATAAATTGAAGCCTTCTAAATGAACGGCTGTAATCTTAAAACGTACCTTCTGGCTAGAATTTAATCTCTAGAATGAAGAGAAGGTTGACCAAGGATGGGTGAGCTGTATAAAGCCAAGTGGTTCAATGATGGGACACAATATTGGGCTGTGGATGGAATTTTGGAACTTTTATCACGTCAACCAAAGCCAAGGCTGACTATTTTGGAGATATTATTTAGGTCACTGTACAGCTAATCTTAAGTGTCCCATCACCCCTGTAGATGGGTATTACTGTGTTCCCAGGATCGGAAGTGGGTGTTTTGCAATTGGTTTATACCTTAGAATATTCTAATCTCATTATCAGTTTCAAAGAAAGGCAGAGAGAGAGAGAGAGAGAGAGAGAGAGAGAGAGAGAGAGAGAGAGATCAAGTCTTACAGTCAATGTAGATCCATTAAGATCTAGGTATTATAAGCACATGGGCGGGGGACTGAGAGATCAAAGGTGATTTATGCCTACTAAGGGGTAGCGTACACATGTCCTGCGCTGGGTGATCTGTACACACTGTGTTGTTACAATTCTTAATAATCCTAGAGAAGAGTCCTAGCATCCAGAATTTACAGAAATGGAAACTAAGTTTCCAAGAGCAAATTGCTTTCCCAAGTTCACCCAGTTAGAGTAGGATAAGGAACCAATCACCTGCTTCTGCCTCAGACAGCCTCAGAACATCTAAGGCTTATAGTCAGGGAAAAAGATTCTACCCCTGAACTAAACTACACATCCTCACCTCCAACTGAGGAACCTACTCGGGGATTTACGTACCTGGATAAACTTCTGGCTTCAACCTGGACTGCAGAGATAGCACTACTATTTCCATGAACCGAAAAGCAGTCCAAACTAATGGAGATGAGCTTCAGTAAAGCATGTCCTCAAACTTCTGCAGCTCAGCTAGTATGTGCCCCTTCCACTATTCAGCAGGGTCATGTCTTAGGACCCAGCTCCTCAGCCTTCTCAGTTCCTGTTCCCAAAAGGTTAGGTCATTTTGCCACCAACATTTGCTGCATATGTGACATCAGTTTATAGATCTCCTCTCTCAGTGCTATTTGCATTTACAATTATCTCTGTGAAGAGAGTGTCCCTTGGGAAAAGGATTAGTGACAAATTTGCAAGAGTTTAGCTTCTGAGGTCCTACAAATCTCCCTCCAATCCTGAAATCGCATCTCTTGGTCTCTTGAGTATGTTCTGTCACTCACTCACATTGCCTCAAAAAGCAATCATCAGAAATATAGTTCGGATCCTGAGGCTTTGATGCTTTAATTAGGAAAATCTGAACAATTCTGGAAATTGAAAAGGTTTGTTGTTGTAACGTTCAGCATTAACTCATTTAGTTACAAAATCTGAAAAATCTAACTTTCCGTAGACTGTCCTCTCTTCCTTAAGTGTCATAGTTTGGCTGCAGAAATGATGTCTGTGATTGCTGGTCCTCCCCGAGACCCTCTAAGGATATTATGTAATACAACTCTTGATTTTCATGGTGTGTTTGGCTTCAGGCTCACATGATGAGGTTGGGTTAATAATATAGACCATCACAGTGCGGTCCCAGTGATCACTGTGTTAAAGTTCAGAAACCATGCGGAATCTACAAGTGGTAATAGTGTTGAACAGGTGGCAAGGCTTTGTACTACAGGCAGTTTGAGAAACAAACCCCAACTGTAAGGTCTCCATCCACAAGCACTTTTGGATGCCCTTAGCATGCAAGGCCCTACAAACCTCCCTCAAATCAGAGGATCAACTGTATGGGTGTGAAAGGAAGTCAGCATTTCAGAAAGTCTCCAAGTTACAAAAGCTTCTGAGGGAGATGATGAAGCCTTCCGGGGCTGAAGTTCAAGGGCAGTGTCCTTTTAAGATGTTCACTTGGGGTGGTGACTGAATTAAAGATAAGAATGTGTGAACAGAGTCAGGCGTTGAAAATGGAAGTGCCCTATTTCTTAATTCAAGAATTCTCCTGCTTCTCTGAGGGTGAGAATGCAGGAACCACAGCAGATGTGGCAAAGTGACAGCAATCAGTAAGATGGTACTACATTCCAGAAAGTTCTCCCCTCCTGTTACTCGGTCTTTTCTTGGTCAGAAGAGCACAGAGATATCCATGATGAAAATATTTTGTAATTCCATGGGCAAACCATGTCTCCACCAGACATGAGTTATTTCTTTAACATAAAATGTAGCTAAAGGTATGTATTAATAGCTGCCATTTGGAAAATGCCTACCATATATTAAGCATGTCCCTTGTCTTTATAGTAACTCTACCAAGTAGATTATCATTATTATTATTATTATTATTATTGCTGTTTGACAAATAAGAAAACCAAAAGTTAGAATGGGGGAAGGAAGGGCTATGTGTCCCTGCAAGCCATTCTATAGGGTTGTCCTAAAGAAGCTAGTCTTTTGTCTAGCAATGACAGCTTCCAGGGAAAGAGGTCAAACATGATTATATGGTACTTGCGCTCTATCTACTGTCACCACATCATTAAGATTTAACAACTTTATCAAGGTCAAGTGACTTCTTAGTTGAAGGGCTGAGATGCAATCCAGATTTATTTGATTCAGAACTCTAGACTCAAAATAAATAAGCAGCTGTTAAACACATGAGAGCAGTTGGGCAGCTTATCTTAAGTTGGGAAGATGCAAATGGGTACTACTGCCTGATAGGACTGACGTAGACAGACAGAAAAGGCCAGGCTCAAATACTGAATCTGACTGTGAGTCTATAGCTAATGGTAGAAAGATCAGGGTAAGCTTTTTCAGCCTTGGCTTCTTCTTCTGAAACTGAATATTTGAGCAGATCCTCCATGGGGTAATTTTGCAGAATAACTTCTCTGATTGGAGGCATGACTTCTCAGAGGGGAGGATTAGGTAAATAAGTGCAGAGGACGTTTGAGGCTGTTCTTTTGCCTGGAGACCTCAGCGCTGAGCCCAGTCCTCCAACGCTTTCCCACATTTCCTCTCTTCATACACATGTGGGTGGCTATCTGAGGTAACAGCACAGGTCCATATACTCCCAGGGAGTTGGCTATCTCTGTACAAGCACAAAGAGCACAGGTCTAAATTGATTTATGCTCAAGTCGCTCAGTACGATCGGTCTGCTCAGAGTGACACTAAAAGCCAGGCTCAAGTGATCAGTTAATGGCTCCATCTGCTGTGCAATGATCTCAGCTCAGGGTAGGCGAGCCCTCCAGCCTTTCCTGAGAACATCAGCATATTCCTCAGAATGCAGCCGAATTGCACTCACTGTAGGGGCTTGAAATGCTAGCATGACTGGTTTGTGTTTCCCTGTATGCTGCAGCTCCAGGAAATAAGAGGATAGGATCATCTGGGTCCTTTTACCTGTTTTCATTTATCCCTGACCATTCTTGTTGTTACAGGATACCAGTTATAAGGTACGAGAAAGGAACTCAACAGTCAGAATCTGAGCAGGCTTTGTGCAGATTTTATATAAATCTCAGCTAATGTATTTCTCATTCAGACCTGGCACATGTCCAATGTACATTTCCACTCCTAGACAATGGCTATCTCGATACCTCTGGAAAGTACCAATGGATTTGTGGTCCAGTAAAGAAGGGGCAAGATGAGGCTAACAGGATTACTGCCATGCCAGCCATCCCTAGAGAAGAAATAACAAAGGTCTATTCTAGATCTAGATTTTCTCCTACTTCATCTCTGCCCCTCCCCATGGGTGGGGAGGCTGTCTCATTACTTTAAAGTTACAAAATAAAACCATGGAAATGAGTACCCTGGATAAATTTGGGGTCAAAGACACTTGGTTTTGAAGAGACTTGAGGGTCTAGTAGAAGTCTGCAGGGCTAGATTTAAATCGTATGCAGCTCACTCGATACATGCAGAACTACATAAATTAAGTAAACTGTATAAGCCTCTGTTTTCCTACCTGTAAGGAAGACCCAATCCTGCTTTGCATATTTTTAAAAAACAGGCAAAGTTTGATTAAGAATTTTCTGTAACTAGCAGCCAACTCATTTCTACTTCAGAGTGGGTATTTACTCTGAAGATCTTAAAATGGGCTAATATTGAACCTTATGTTAATAGAAATTACTAATAAATGTGTGTATGTTATTCACTTGAGTTTGGTTTTGATTTTAATTTCAGTAGCTAACTCTAAGAAGTGGACCTGAATTGAATTGGAAACATTATAGCAGATGTTTATTCGATAAATATATTTATTGAATAAGTAAATGAATGAATTACCAGAAGGCACACTGAGGGACTCTTTCTTATACTTTGGTAGTGCTGAAGAAGACGCACACACACCCTTCTCCTTTGATGATGTCTACTGAGCAGATGCAACCCCTGGAGCTGGCTGAAGACAGACTGGACAAGCTAGACCCTCGCTGCAGCCACTTGGGTAAATGCTTCCTTCTCACTGTCAGCCATGAACATCAGCAAGGGTGTGTCTGTGCCGTGTGGCTTGCAGGGAGGTCAGAGAGAGGCCCCCTGACACCTGATAGCCCACACCTTCTGGCGACAGCCAACAGCAGACGGACAGGCAAATAGCCATGGGCCTGTGGCATCTGCCCTGTAAATATTAGTTGAAGCACTGGAGAGAAGTTCATTAAAGTTAAAGATGGAGAGTGTGAGGAGAGAGGCCTTGTCCTCTTCTTTGGATCTGAGAGAGTCCCGGGCAGAGCATTTTTGAGGCAGTAAATGGCGTGTGACGGTGTAGCTTATTCCCAGTGTTTCCCAGCACACTTACACCCCATGTGCAGCGCCAATAAAATATTTCAAATATCTCTCTTTGCCTATCAAGACAGAATTTTAAATAGCCCTTTTCTGCTTTATTGTCAATCTGTTTCCTTTCCAGAACTGACTTTTTGCATAACCTTTGTAATGAAAATACCAGAAACATTTCTGCCTCTACCCATTTCTAAAAATGAGACACTCAGACTTTTGATGGATGGGCTTTTTGCATATTCATAGCCCTTGTTTATGCCTTTCCTGGTTATGACTTCCTCCACCTCCCCCCTCATCTCAATTGCCATCAAGATATTTTATGTTAAGGATTTCTCAAAAAAAAAAAAAAAATGGGGGAAATCAGATTGAAGTAAAAGTGAGCAAATGTCTTCCTCTCTGTACCGTGCACAGGTCAAGCTCTGGGTCAAATGGGGGCTCTTCCCCAAGAGATCCACGTACAGGCTGCATATGCAGAGATCCCCCGCTGTGCAGCACCTATGCTAAGCAGCATTCATTGGTCCAACCCATGTCTATGGTATGCATAATTTGGGCAGAAGTTGACAGCACAGTGGGTAGCAAATTTTTACAATAGCTTTGCTGTAGAAGCAGAGTTCCAAGACCCTGAGTGCAATCCAGAGCCCATAACATTCATGCAGCATACCCTCCTGACCTGTGAACACTGGCTGCCTATTCTGCAAATTAGAGACAATAAAACAATATGGTTGTATGTTTAATGTGGGAGCTAAGCGGAATAATGAATTGTATTCAACTTAAAAACCAGGAAAGCATAGACACTAATGAATCACAAAAGGTATTGGCCCACCTCATGTGCTGACATGGTGTGGAATCACTGAGGGCATGGAGTGGTATTCAGTGATGTCGCTCCTTTGTTGTATGTGGGTGTGAATGTACATGGGCTTTGTAGAGTCCAGTGCTGTATACATGTGTGATTTTAATAAATGTAAAATGATTGGATGAAATTAGTAAAACCTTTTGGGCAAAGTCTATGTTTATTTTTAAATTGCTCATTGCCTTGATAGTGTGTTCAACTCTTTACAATCAGAATTTTATAGAATTTTCTGTCAGAATTTTCTGGAATTTTGATAAGGCTACTCAAGCCTTCTGTTGAATGGACCAAAATAAATGAACATTGTACTTTTTTTCAAAACAATTTACCTTTACCCCTATGATCCAGTGTCAGTAGAAACCAACCGGTTTGCAGCTAAAACTTGAGTCATGTTATCCTCTCTTTCTTTGTCTTCATATTCTGTCAAAATCAGATGATCTGCCAGATCAGTTCCTTAAGGGCTGTGATCTCACAAAGAAGCCAAGAAAGGGGAAAAATATGCAGGCCACCATTACGGTGGAGTCAGATCAGAAGAAACCAAGGAGGAAGGACACACCTGCGCTGCACATCCCCCCTTTCATCCCAGGTAACAGACAAGGAAGTTGGTTTGCACAGCTGCAGATGGGGACCATTTGTGGCTGGACCACATTGGTCTTCATAGATTTCTCTTGACATGTTTGGGAATTCAAATCCTAAGTATTAATGGTGTAGTACAATACCACCTTTTCAAAACAACACCTTCTTTTTGTCACTCGTAGTGGAAGTTGGAGGCAGGGCAGACACACAGTGCCCCAAACAGTCATTCCAGGATCCAGGCTGAAGAGTTCTGGCGTCACCAACACATAGGCAGTCAATAAAGTAATCTTGAGCTTCCAAAATCACAGTGAACATTGCCACCCAGCAACCATGAGATGTAGACAGATGGAAGACAGATGGAGAGATTCATGTGGGGCAGCTCTCCCCACCCATGGACCATGAGGGATGCTAGGAATGCACCCCTACTCCATGGCCAGGAGAAAAGCACAATAGCTTGATGAGCAGCTAGCAAGTCTCTGTGGTACCCTTGGGTGTGATATGTGACTCTTTCTGCTTCCCAGAAGTTACTTTCTTTCCTGTCCCTTTTCACCATGGGCCATTTACCTAATGTCTTTCCTATTCCCATAGTTTTAGGGACACAAAACAAGTATAATGCTGAAGATCATTTAGAGAAGGAAACTTCAAAGATATAGGAAAAAGTGGCCATACACACAGCCTGAAATATGCAGTAAGAAATGACATTGTGATAGAGGTTCTTAGAGTAGGACCATGGGAGCTGAGTCTGGACAGTGAATTGTGAAAAGTTTTAGTGAAATGGTTACTTTAGAGGGATATAGAGAAAAAAATCCATCTGTACAGCAGAGGTAAGAAGGCAGGCAAGGCTTAGGTGGCTGTGAGGGTCAGAGCAACAATTAGGTCATGAGGATGGGTGCAAGTTGTGAGTTGCACATAGCTTGTGCTTATGTTGCAGATGATCTCTAGCTCAGGAGGATGGGATTTGGACAGAGACAAGTCAAGGCTTAGTTCCTGTCTGACACCTATGAGCTATAGTAAATTGCATATATATCTTTGTCTCGCTTTTCTCAGATAGGTGACAGTGATGGTAATATTAAATTTCTTGGGATGCTATGAGGTTAAAATGAATTCAGGCTCCAAACTTTTCTGAACAGACATCTCTGGTATAGTCTTTGTAAGTATTCTGTGAAATAAGCTTAAAATCCTCCACTAATTTTACCAGGTATATGTGCAAAGGTGTGTGTACGCGCAGCACCCTTACCTTAGGATGGATTTGTGCATTCAAATCTGTCCCCTCTCTCTTCCTATAACCATGTAGGTGTGATCTCAGAACATTTAATTAAAAGATACGACATTCAAGAGAGACATCCAAAGAGCAAAATGAGCCCGCCTCTTCATAACACTGACCTGGAACAGAAGAAGCCAAGGAGAAAAGACACACCTGCCCTGCACGTGCCCCCCTTTGCAGCAGGTAAAAGAGCTGGAACAGGGCATTTTCAGGAGGTGGTGGGACCAGTTGGGAGCCTCACCATCTGGAGGTGCCAGGGGCATGGCCTTTGTCTTGGCCCAGCAAGCTGTGTCACATGCAAGTCCTCCAGGGAGATGTGGCATTTACTGCTGCCTTTCAGGTTTGTCTTCATTGCCAGCTCCCCAGGGGCTGACTTGGACAAAAAGGAGCGCTACTTATGCTTCAGCAGAACTGGGCAAATACACTGAGCCAGGGAAATGGAAATGTCAGTGGGTCCTTGAGAAGGGGTGGGAAACCCTCCCCACCAGCCTGCTCCTGCATATGTGGTCTGCACAGAGATGACTGGTAGCTCATGCTCCCAAGCTGCATGGACTCACCTCAGTCCAGGCTAGGGAGTAGGGGAGAAAAGGAGAAAGAAAGAGAGGGAGAGGGGGAAGAAAAGGTGATGGAAGGAAAGAGAGCACACATAAACATTAACCACTATCTTACATGTGTGTATAGTGAAGCAAAAAACTTACTCAACTATGCTTCTAACCTCAGGTTACATGGGAGAGAGATGGAGTCTGTCCCTGAGGAGTTTTTGTGGAATTTGAAGAATAAGACATGTAAATTCATGATTGGTGTATGAGACTGTGTGTGTGTGTGTGTGTGTGTAAGAAAAAGATAGACATATGGACAGACAGACAGAGGTAGACAGAGACAGATACACAGAAAGAAAAGACTATGGATGGCTTTGTAAGGATAGTTGTGGAAAGGGGGAAATGTATTGATATTTAATGACATCCTATCACATGTTAGGTGTAGTGTGTACTATGAACTTTTAAAAATCATCTGAAAAACACAACAGAATACCTTTTACCTCACTTCACAGATAAAGAATTTGAGAGAGAATATAATTCATATACTCACTGTACAGTCATGTGGGTAAAACAGAGGAGTGGAGGGCCGATTGGCTGAGTGTTTGGATCAGTGATGGGATGAGATAGATGGATGAATGTTCAAGGTCAAATACTGTTACCAGGAGAGCTGAAGTTCAGACCAAGGCCACTCCCTTCTGGGCTAGGCTTTCACTCTGATAGGGGTGTGCATCAGGCCTTTCCTAGGATCAGGATGTGAACATTACTGCTCTGCACCCTTTGGGCTGCGGCAGGAGAACTGCAGGTTTGAGCACAGTGTGGGCCACACAGGAACTGAATGAGACACTACCTCCAAATAAGACATAATGCAAAGATGAGTGGAAAGGCTCTACAAGGGCTCTGAGTTTGCCCCTCTGAGCTGTTAAAAAGAGGATATGTAAGTCATACTTTTGTTAGGAAATGCTGTTGTATTGTTACTAAAAATATATATTATTTCATTTAACAAACAATGCAAAAGATAGCTCAGAATAAGACATCATGACAAAAGCCAACAGTAACTCAGCACCTCGAAGTCCCCAGCCATTTCTAAGATCCAGGCCCTGACTCCATAGGGCTTATGTTCTCAGTCTTCCTCTCCTTTCCTCTCCCTCGTCCTCTTCCATCTCCTTTGCCTCCATCTGTCTTTATCACTCAAGTGTATCCAAGATGAAAGTCAGGTATGTGTCCTCACTTGATCATGTCTCTGCTTCTCTCTCCCTCTCTTACACACCCTCACACATAATACACACTCACACCCACAAGCTCTCTCACACACACAAACTTCTAAAGACCAACCTTTCAGAGCACTGAACACATGCAGCCATCTGATGTAATATAAATGTGTGGATAATACAAGAAATGTAGGAGTTACAGGAGTCTCTACTCTCCAAACTAACTTCACTTTTCAATAAAATATTTTGTGAGCAAGTGTTATATTCTAAGTCATGGCTCGGGGGAAAGTCAATAGTCAGAAAGGTAACAGATAATAGAGGAGTAAGGAGTAATTCTCCTCTGTAAGGAGTAAGGAGTAATTTTATTACTCTGTAAGGAGTAATTCTAATTACTCTGTTAGGAATAAGTCTATGAATAAAATTAAAGTGAAGTAGAGAAAGAAAGGAAGTTGGAGATTGTTTGCTTCACAGGAGTACAAAGGAAACTTCTCTGAGAAAGAAACACTTACGCATACACCTGAAGGAAGTGTGAGGAGGGAAGTATGGGAAGGACTGAGTGAAAAGGATTTGAGCCTAAGGAACAGGTTTAAGCATTTTGAACTGGAAATATCTCTGGCCTTTACTCTGTCAATATTAATACTGAGTATCTATGATATTCTGGGTATTGTTCAAACACTAATCATACACAACAAAACAAAACAAAACAAAACAAAACAAAAACAGAAAAGGTCCTTGTCTTCCTTAACTTTACACTGTAGGTGGGCAAATACAATACCTCAATACTTGGATCTGAAGCAGAATGAAAGATTTTCCCAAGTTCACAGACAGACAGCTTGGACACCACGAGCTAGCTCGTTCAGAGAAAGGGAAAGCCCCAGGACTCCTCCTCTTACTTCCCTGGTTGGAGTCTGTCGGTTGGTGTGGCATCCTGAATTGGTCTTTTCCCTCCTTTAACATGGAGTCAATAGATGACCAGGGATACCTCGCTTTCACATATAGGACTTGGAGGACCAAACTGCTCTAACAACTACCACAATCTCCCACCCAAGAGGACACCTACAAATGCTTTTTACAGTACTCTTTTTTCTTGAGGGGGAGGGCTAGTTTACTATGGGAAGGGGGGGTTTGGAGACCTTTGCAAAACTGACTTAAGAGGAATAGCCAATAACCCTACAATATATTAATTCCAACTGTCCTGGAAGAGCAAAAGGAATTATTGAATGATAATATTTGCATGGTAGAGGAATTAAGATCTCTAAGAAATTTTATAGCAAAAAGAATCACTTTGATTTCATAGAATCCAGATTAACAAACTCTGATTTAGAACTTTTTTCTGCCCACTGAAGTCTACTTGTTCTAAAGCCTATGCTGCAACATGGGAAACTCTCCCTTACAATTACATATGCCAAGACCTTAAATTTTTCATTCTTTCTTGTTTGGAATTGTCAAATATTCTGTACCCAAATCAAATGAGAAAAAACTTAGAATACAGATCACACCATGCATTTTCTGATTTGCAAGTAAGGAGCAGAGCCAGGCAGGTGGCAGGGTCCTTGAAGAGACAATTCTCTAAAGAAATGCACCAAGGGGAGATCTGAGCCTGCCTCAGGCAGCTTCTTGCAGGCTCCTGGCATTGCTGTATACGCAAGTCCTCCAGCCAATCACACACACTCCCAAGGCTACGCCTCTGTTCAGCTCCCGCCTACCCTCCTAGACTAAGCCAGCTCAGAGCCTCTGTTAACAGATCTCTTCAAAAAAGACTTTTTACTCTGCATCAACTCTGAATTAGTCCTGGGCATGAAAATGACCAAGACTTCATTTAACATAATATTTTTCTCATTACTGTTATTGTAGCTGTTATTTAAATTGACTTACATTAACAACTTGCTTGATTCTTTCTAGTATATTAAATTGAACTTGAGCTTTGGAGCCAGAAAGGTCTAGGTTACATTTTTGGTTCTGTTTCTTTCAATCCTTGTGGGCCTGGAAATTTAGCATAAACAATATGAGCCTCCTTCATTGCATCTATCCCAGAAAGCAGGCCATAAAATCTGTCTCAAACAATTGTTAACATTTAGCACAGAGTAAAAGTTTTGGCATATTGAAAGTCTCGGTAAGTATTAGTTCCCTTCCACTGTCAGTTCAACCTTATATTCTTTAAGTCAAATAATTTCTGGAGATAAGAATTCTCCTAGTCCCAAAGCATTTTATCTCTTCATATAAATTTGCTGATCCAATGCTTTCTAAAGTGTTGAACTCTGATCGCTTGGCAATAGATGCTACATATATCCTACTACCTACTCCTAAAAGAGCAGCTTCCTTCCTGAGTCAAAAACGTTTGTTAAATATCTCAGCATATACAAGAGTTGGAGGAGTTCTGTATACACGTAGACTCAATAGGCATTATGGAATTCCTTGAGTCAGCAAATCTCCATATTATGTGTGCAATTACAGATATTGTTGTATGATTCTAGCTTTTATTAGCATATTAGCTGAAGTACTTTATTTTGAAGAGCATTTTAGTATCTAAAGATTTGGCAGTAATCGAAATGCTAGTTAAGCTGATAAGGATGGAGCCTCCGGCAGATGTTCAGATGGACTCATATTGGTACTAATAAGGGTGCTGAGAGAAACTCACAGGCAAATGCACCCTGGAGAACTCTCCTCTCATTAGCCCTTGGCAAGTGAGAACTGGACAAGGATTCGGGCTCTTCTCTAAATCTCCTGCTAACCACCTTCATTCCCCTAAGTTAATGAGCTAATTTGACAAGTTCCAACTGCTAGAATAGCCACTCCATGAGGAGTCACCTCAAGCTTCCTTGCCAGCCCCAGGCTGGCTCCCAATTTGGTCCACAGTTGCCAGAACCCCCATGCTAGGGATTGCATGACAGGGAGTGTTGTTCATGATTGGCCAGATCTGAGGAGCATGGGCCTGTTTAAGAGAGAAAGAAGTGTTGAGCCTGAAGTCCATGGCAAAGGGAGGTGAGCAAGGCAAGGAATAATGTAGCTGAAGGCACTAAAGAGGAACTGGTTGGAAAACTTCACATTCAGGCAGACCAAAGAAGAAAGATCAGACACTGTACTTGTACAAAGGAATGGGACTACTATGTCCTTTGACAATGACACCTCTCCTGTCCTTCTGGAATGCAGAATTTTTCTCTGATGTGCTTTATAGGACAGGTAACATCTTTGTCCTGATCCCCTCAGCTCAGAGGCACATAGCTATAATGTGGATGACCACTTTGAGACTGTGCCCTAGATGAGGTCCTGCTTAAAAACAGCTTTATTTCAAGGCTGGTTGCCCTTCAGAGACCTGAGATAAGCAGCGTAGGCCTTAAAACACACTAATGTTTTACAGGCAAGAAAGTTTCACAGACTTATCCCTATAAAAAGAGGAAGGTACTGACAGTTGTGAAGTCCCTATTAAATTCCAGGTTTTGGGCCAGATGGTAGACTGTCCTCTAAGAACCACAGGGGAAAGCAGATGCATTACTCTATGGTCCCTATGCCATGGAAAGTGCTTTAGCAGAGGTTTACACAGTGTGCTACTGTAGCATGAAAGAATGTGGGCCTGAGTTTACTTTTGAGCCTCATGGCTTGTGGGAGAAGCAAATTATTTTTAGTCAACCTGGGTTTGGTTTGGCATAAACACATTCAGAGAAGATGGAAGAGTTGAGATGTTCAGTATGGCTTACCCAAAGCTCTCCTACTGTACTTTAATTCCAAATAAGAATTCAAACTTCCATGAAGCTAGCACAGTGTAAGAGAAAATATCTCCCACTGTGTTTCATAAATGATTTCCCTAAAAGCCTTAGTTTCAGAAGACTCTTGAACTTGTTTTTCTCCTCTGATAATGTTAACAAATTGGTAAAGAATTCATCTTAACAAATTAGGAGCTGCATCCAGTGCATAGACAAGAAAGCAACATAGAGTTTTCATTAATTTTCTAGTGTTGAAGGGAGCCCGATCTGCAGAAAGGCCCTGGGCTGCTTCTACCCTCAGCTTAGATCTGTGTGAGCTGCCGCAGAGAATGAACTTTCCTCCTTAGGGAAGGAGAGGAGAACGCAGCACAAGGAAGAGGTGGGGAAGCAAGACAGGGGCGGGCCTGGAGTGGGATGACAACAACCCTACCCACTGGTCCTGAAACTGGAGGGCAGCCTCCTTTGCACTTCAGTTAAGGTGCTTCCCTCTTTAAGCTTCACAGGGTGAGCAGAACCACCAGGACCTCTTTGACTGGCTTTTAATGAACAAATTTATCCAGAAAAATCAGACTTTAAAAAGAAATTAAGATTTCTGTTTCATAGACCAGCGTACTTTTTTTAAAAAAAAGATTGTGTGTGTGTGTGTGTGTGTGTGAGTGTGTGTGTGTGTGTGTGTGTGTGTGTGTATTTTAGTAAGGGTCTACAGGGTCTCACGATGTAGATTGGACTCAGTGATCCATCTGTGTTCAGCCTCCCAAGAGCTGGGATTACAGGTACAAGCCACCACACCCAGTCTCTATCACTGGCTCAGTGCTCCCCTAGTGCGGGGTCAGCACAGCAGGCCCGGGAATCAAACTCCTGACCCCTGCACCTGCTTGCAAGTACTTTAATCTGCTGAGCTATTTGGCGAGCCCTTCTTTTTAAAATAAAATATTATGGAAGCTAACATAAGAACAGCAGCCTTTGATTTTGCCTAGGAAGGGTGTGCAAGAATGACCAGCTAATTTCTCTAAAATTATATAAAAGAAAAGGTATTTTAATCTACAAAGCAGAAAAAATATCATCTCAGAGCAAAGAACAGCTTAAAATTGTATGACGACCTCACTTTCCCATTGTCTGTGAACTATGTGGACGTGACCACTTGTTACAACTGACATTTGGAAACAGCATAGCCAGGGCCGAAGCTCAGTGTTTGCCCCACATGGTGGTAAAATGGTTTTAAGGAGCTTGATTTCATGAGGTTTACCAATTACCTTCAAAAGAGACCTATACTAGCAATTTGTGGGGAAGATGGAAAAATTAACCCTTAGCTGTTCACAGGCCAGGCTCCTTGCCAAGCATGTTACATACACCTGATTTAATCAATACAGTAACTCTTTATAGTGAGCATCAAGGTCGTCAATTAATCTTTGAGAAATTTGTGTAGAAAGTGTTAGCTGGCTTTATCCAAATTAAGAGAGTGGCTCAACCTGGTGCCCAACGCACTGGACCCCAAAATCTGAATGCTTTTTCCCCACCATACTGCAAGATTAGGAACAGAGCTTAGGGAATGAAGGTGAAGTTGCTGTGACTCCTGGCCCTGCATCCTCTCCTGCCCAGAGTGGGGTCCTCTCTGAGCTCCTCGGAGAAGGCCACATCAGGCCACCCAGCACTCCCTCTCTTGTACAGGAGCAAAAGTGCTTCTGGGGTGACCGCACTCTGATGCATTCTATCTATGTCAATATTTTAATTAGATGCACTTAATTGTAGGTCTGTGCCTTGTTTTGCAGGTGTAACGCTGCTCAGGGACGAGAGACCCAAAGTGATCATGGAAGATGACGAAAAGGATGGTGACAAGATAGCTATTTAAAGACATCTCCCCTGAGATCACTTGTAAATAGGTTAGATTGGCTCCCTACGGTGACCTAGAGAGAAAATAGACTTGTTTCTGCTCTGATTTCATCCTAGTTTGACTCAGATCTAGACATCTCTTCCTCAGGAGACACAGTGTATTAGATTGCCAGTCACCTCTTTGTCCTTTTCTCCTTGAGTTTGGTTTCTAGTCCCACTTTCTGAATTCTTCAGTGCAATGGAAAGGAAACAGATCATTCCAAACTAGAAGGCAACAGGAAAGCTCTGGTAGTCACAATTCTTTTTCTGCCTCTTCTGCACCAATTCGTGGAGCAAAGAACACGAAAAGCATGGGAAACCTTTACTCTTGCTTTATCTGTGGGGCCGAAGTTAGCTTACCATCATCTAAAAGCCAGTCCAGTTGGAGTTCTTCTTGCCAGTTAAAGAGGCAAGATCATTTGTGTTCTGACCCATGGATTGTCTCAGAGAAGACAATCTCTTATTTCTCCTGTCTTATTGTAAAAGTCCATTCTGGTGATACTCCTAACATCTTTGTGGCTGACATTACAAAGCTGAGTTTATAAGCTGAAGGGTGTCAACCCAGTCTATCATATCATGACAGAAAATACCAGAAACAGAGTCTGCTGCTGTCCAGGAAGCTCACAATACCTCTTCATATTTACTTTTTATTTCTACAAACAACAGCTCTTAACCATATCACCCTGATATTTATGAACTGTATCCCAAGTGAATCATTACTAATAACAAGTAAACTACTAATGTTGGCGATTAGTTTCCTTTTTTAAAACTGAAGGCAGATCTAAGACTTTTGGCACCTGGCTTATTTAGACACCAATAATCTTTCTTAGCAAGAAGGATAAAATGAAATGTTACCTAATGAGGAGGCATCTGTATTTAATCCCTGTCGCAAGCTGCAACCTGTGGGAGCCTGGGGTGGGGGCAGGGATTTTCACACGAACCTCATCCATGAGGCAATACACAGGAAGAACAGTGAGAACCGTTATTAAAAGGGGGAAAAGTAGACATTCAAATCATCATACTGAAGAGTGACAATATGCAGTTTATCTCTACCTGGGTTCCAACCATTGTTTCTCTGTGCCTCTCACAATCATGGAAAAGATGAAAGATCCTGCTGGAAATAAAAATACTTCTTTCACCCTCTATGCCCCGGTGCATTTCTCCTAAAAATACTCTATTTACTACTATAAAGAACAGAGGTTGTAAATGAGACTCAGGAGATTTGGCTTTATTTTGATTCCCGCCCCCTTGGCCTACAGAGGTTTAAAACTATTTTAGTTAGCTGCTAATGTTTAGCATCCAACTCGGAGAATTTACATGTAATTCTAGATTTCTAGATTTTTCTAGGGAAAATACCTCAAGAGTAGGCAATTTGGGGGTCTGTTTTGAATCATGCTAGCACCTAACTCAAGAACTGGATGTCATTTCAAAAATGCACTTAGTCCTCAGCTTTCCATGTGCCCTGTCCAAGCAGTTACCTACTGACTTTGCTGTTCAGCCTTGCATTTGGGTTTAGATTCCCTGTAGTGAAGCCCACATTCTATTCCTAGCTGCCTCACACCTCTTGGATTCCAGGGATCACGTCCTATTCTGACAGCTTCAGTTGCAGCCGGGGAAGGCCAGTAAGCCTTGGGTTCCAGCCCCAGCTGTGGGAGCAAGTCCCCTGAGCCCTGAGTCTGCCTTTATCAGGCAAATAGTGGTAATAATCTTTACTTTGCCCTCTTCATAGCTTGACAATGAAGTGAAAGACAATGTGTGCCAAACGGCTGAGCAAGCTAACATGCCTTATCCAACTGAGGACAAGGTGAAGACCTCTTCAGAATGTGAGCATGTGCCTTGTCAATAGCCAAATCCCCTCAGCCTGGATGTTGGGTGGGTAACAATTACATGGGAGTGACTTGCAGCATCTGAAAGAGGGTTGGGAGTACTGAGACCAGATCTCCCCTACAGCCTGCACTGAAACACCAGCCCTGTCTTCCTGGAAAGATACATTTGTGGCAGAACCACAGCAGGGCAGCATCAGCAGTGCACACTCAGAATGGTCAGGGCAATACCAGCCAAGCAGAGGCAGCCCTGGGTACCATTGGATGATCTGGGTTGAAATCAAACATTCTTCATTTCTCTTGACCAGTGTGGTGCTTTTCTGGGAAGTTAAAGTAAAGACTTAGTTGTTGGACTTATATACCACTCAAATAGTTCTCAGTATGTTGTGGACAACTTTCCTCCACATGAAGAATAACTGTGTTGAGAAGTTAAACTCATCATATGGTGCCTATTTGGAATGAAAGCTCAAATTAAAGGCATCAGATTTGTTCATTTGGAAGGCATGGAGCTCAGGCTACAGGAGAAGAGAGGACACTGACGGGGGAGAAAAGTGTAGTTCTCTGTAAAAAGCCCCACACTGGGCCTTTCTTTAAATCTAGACAACATTTAAAAGTTGTTGGCTGAGCTCACACAGCCAGATTCTATTGCCTAATTATCACCTTGGAGAGATTGAAGTTGATGCTGAAGGATCTGAGTAGGGCCATAAAGGATTCAGTGTTTGCTTTCAAATACATGGAGTTCTCCCTCCCCTACCTGTGTTGTCCAGGTTGCCTTCTTTAAAGAAGAGTTTGAGATAGCATGTGGTTATGAAAATAAATTAGTAAGGCAATTATATTTGCCAGCTGAGAATAAGGGGCTAGTTCCATGATGGATTTTTGTGGACTCTCTGTCATCCTGTATATAAATAAGGCTCCCTTGCCACTCATAATTTGTAAGTGTGAAAGTGTTCCTCAGAAAATTCCTCAAGGCAGTGAGTGAATGCACAGGAAACAGAGGCTACAAAATCCTAAATTTAATTACAAGGACCATGTGGTAATTAGCAGTTGGTAATTAAAAGGTTAAAATACTTAGCAATAAAACTCCTCTGTTGAAGCCATCCTGCTCAGCATCTAACAATACAGTAACACTAACCAAAAACTACACAACATAAAACAAATCAATGACCCATTTATTTTTCACCATGAGATCTATCTTCCCCAGTAGTTAATTTGTACAGATATCTTTATCTAAATCAAAAAGACCTTCTCTAGGGCCAGAGTTTGAATCAAATTACAACTTTGAATGTATGACTTTAGATTCAATGCAGGTGCTCCCAGCATCCACAAGGAGCAGCATGATCCTTGTTGGGATAATGGTGTTTGCTGCCTAGACCCACCTTCCGTGTATTAATCCCTTATAAAAATTCCAAACTCAGGGCTGGGCGATAGCTCAGTAGAATAAGCACTTGCCTGGCAAGTGCAAGGGCCTGAGCTCAATCCCCAGTTCCAAAAAAAGAAAAACCTCCAATCACTCATCTTGACGGCCCAGTTCTCTTGGAAACTTGCTTGCTGTTCTTCAATAAATGCTGATGTTTTTATTCTGATTTTAGTAAATTCCTTTGCCATCAGTATCACTGACCATGGGTATATATACCATCCTACATGGCAGGCAGAAAGATGGAGGGAAGAATAGAGGCACAAATTTGGGCTGCCAAACAGTAAAAACTATTCCACACTCCTCAATGAATATTAAAACCTTGACTGGAATCCTAAATTGTCCATTAGCAGGCACTGATACATCCTGCTTAGACCCCTAACCAATCCAGCAACAACCACTACATCTCTTTAGGAAATGTTCTCTTACTGCAAAATTTTCTCCACTCCCACCCATTCTACCTGCCTTGTATACCATTGACATATACTCAACGTAAGCAACTCACACATTCCTTCCTTAGTCTTTTGCTGTAAAAACACTCTTAGCACTAGGTCCAGTGGCCACTTATTCCATCTGCTCCCTAGCTTTGTTGTTGGTACCTGTGGAACTTGTCCCTAGAATTGGCCTTTCTATGGCTAACATATCCAGGGGCTTAATAAATTTTTCTATTTCAATGTCTACTCCTTCCATCTCAAATGTTTAGTCTAACACCAATGTCCAACATCAGATCCTTCCAGCATGATAAGGTGTTACCAGTCTGGTGAGGTGATTTGTCCAATATGGACTTAAATTTTCAACTGAAAAAGTGCTGCTCCTTGAAGCTAGTGGCTCTTGGCATCGAGTGCCAATGGTTCAGTCTGCAGCGTCACAGCTTGTAACCTTGAGTGCCAACTGCTTCTAGCTCTGGTATTATAGCTCTGAATACTATAGTTTATCATGTTCAGGCCCCAAGGCTTCTAGCCACCCCCATGAGCTCCAGTGCAGCCCAGGATTGTAAGCCCCTGTGCACCTTCCTGAGCACCCCTCACACACCAGCATCTTTTACGGTCTGCTGGGAACCAACACAGCTGCTCATGTTAGGGACAGATTGCTGTTGCTCAGCTGCCACTGACCTCAGGTCTCAACTTCTTCCTTCTCCTTAGTCAGTGGCCTCAGGCTTCAGAGCCTCAACCATTTGGGCTCATCTACTGGGGGCCTGGGCCTCTGATCTGGCCTCCACTTTCTCTTGCACCTCGGACTTGGTCCTGGAAATGAGAGTGCCGCCTCAGCTTTGGGCTTGTCATGGTACAACCAGCTGCATGGTATCCACAGATTCCAGGCTCTTTCTGTACAACTCAAAAGAACTGGCCAGGAAAACCAAAGAAAACTTAATTACAACTTCTGTTTAATTAAGTTGTTTCTGAAAAAGAGAGAGAGAAAAGGTGAAGGAACAAAGAAAAGAGCAAAGAACAAGAAGAGATACATCCTGCAAGGGGCACAGACCGTTGCAGGAACATGAGCACAGCAGAACAAGACCAAAATGGCAGTGAAGCCCAGAGCTGCTGCCTTTCACACCCTTCCAGCTCGATGCTTGCACATCGCCCTGAACATGTATACCTGTCATGATTGACAGGTCGCATCTTTTGTGTTTCAAGTTACATAGACACTTCCTGTTTCAAGCCTCTGGTCTAGATCTTTGTAATTCATAGGTCATATCCTGTTTTCCAGTCAGCCTGCCATGACTCTAATTTGCCACCTCATTTT